GTGATTGGCAGGCCATAAACTGCTGCAGAACCTCTTGGCTGTGATTGGTGGGGGCCATTACACTGCTGCAGAACCTCTTGGCTGTGATTGGCAGGCCACTAAACTGCTGCAGAACCTCTTTGCTGTGATTTGCGGGCCATTAAACTGCTGCAGAACCTCTTGACTGAGATTGACAAGGCCACTGAACTGCTGCAGAACCTCTTGACTGTGATTGGCGGGCCACTAAACTGCTGCAGAACCTCTTGGCTGTGATTGGCAGGTCACTAAACTGCTGCAAACTCTTGGCTGCTTGCAGGTCACTAAAACTGCTGCAGAACCTCTTGGCTGTGATTGGCAGGCCACTAAACTGCTGCAGAACCTCTTGGCTGTGATTGGCAAGCCATTAAGAACCTCTTGGCTGTGATTGGCAGGCCATTAAACTGCTGCAGAACCTCTTTGCTGTGATTGGCGGGCCACTGAACTGCTGCAGAACTTCTTGGCTGTAATTGGCAGGTCACTAAACTGCTGCAGAACCTCTTGGCTGTAATTGGCAGCTCAGCTGTCACTGACGTGTCACAGCCAAGACGTTCTGCAGCGGCTGCGGCCCGTCCCGCCAGCCTCTAGTTCCGCCAAGCAGTTCCGCGGCGGCGGCCCCCAGCTTCGGTCTCCCGATCGGTCGGCAGCGGCGGAGGCGCGCACTACGTCATCCCACAATGCCCCGCGGCCGGGCGAGCAGCATTACCTCATCCCGTCATCCCCCGCGACAGTTAGAATCTTCTAGGGCGGTCACCATGGCGACCGAGCCTCATTTGCAAACCGGGCCCCGCCCTCCGTCCTGCCGGCCAATGGGCGAGCGCGGGGGTGACATCATGCCTATTTTTAGTGGCTGAGCGCTCGCTGATAAGAGTTAGTGCGGCGCCGCTCGGAGCTCAGAGACTCACAGTGACTGCAAAGCGGCTGGACCGTCCCCGCCGGCTGAACAAGTAAGGACCGGGGAGGGAAGGAGAACCCAGCGGGGCTCCGGGGCTTCCCAGCAGGGGCCGGGCTCCGGCACCACCCCCCGGCCAATGGAATAAGAGGGGAGATCAGCAGGTGACAACTTTTAGAAGGGGTACAAAACTTCTGACCAATAGGAGAACAGCTCCACAATTTGGGGGGGAGAAGAGGTCACCCCCTAACACTTTATGTCACTTTTTCAAAAGTTTGGGCTCCCCACCAATCGGAGGCAGAATTTGGGGGGCTGGCGCCTTTCGATTAACTTTTGGGGGTGGCCCACAACTTCTGACCAATAGAAAAGCAGCGTTGGGGTGACATTGGGGGGCACATGGCCCTGGCTGACCGCTAACATCATAAAAGTTGTCTACATTTTTTTTTGGGGGGGGGGCAGTCTGGAAAGTAGTTGGGGTGTGCAAGGCGAGGCGGCTGATTGGTTCCTATTCTTACCAGGATTCATGGAAAAGTGGGGGTGATCTGGTTGTGGGGGGGTGATCTGGTTTGTTGGGGGGGGGGGGGGGGGGGGGGTTGTGGGGGGGGGGGGGGGGTGAAATTTCAGGCTTTTGGGATGAAAGAAAAAAGTACAAAATGTCCAAAAAGTCCAAATTGTGAGCATGGGAAGTTTCCTTCTTGTTACATTGTATCTGAGCCATGTAAAGGGCAGGTCCCATCCTTCCATTATATGGAGTTTAGGAAGAATTGATACATTGTATCCAGTTTATAAAGTCTGGGAAATATTATTGGTTACAATGTAACACTCCTATGTGCAATATTTGCCATTATTGTAACATTGTATCCGAGTCATGCAGAGTAGAGGTCCCATCCTTCCATTATATGGAGTTTAGGAAGAATAGAAAAGATCACTAATTGTTACATTGTATTGAGTTCATGCAGAATTAAGTTGTTGTTACATTGTATCAGGTTTATAAAGGCTAGGGAATATTATTGGTTATAATGTAACACTCCTATGCAGAATAGTTGCTATTATTGTTACATTGTATCAGTTTTCTACCCCCATAGAGTTAATATCAGTTAAAAGTTTAGGCAGGATAGGAACTGTTATGTCTTGTTACATTGTAACCAGTTTATACACAATGGAGTTAATATCAAACTTCTGCAGAATAATCCTTATTGTTACATTGTATCTAGTTAATGCAGAATGATTCCTGTTCGTTACAATGTATCAAGTTTATGAAGAATAGTTAATATTCCTTGATACATTGTAACTAGCTTAAGCAGCATATTTACGATTACTTGTAACAATGTATCAAGTTAATGCAGAATAGTTAATATTATTTGTTACAATGTAGCAAGGTAATGCAGCATAGTCCTTTATTCTTGTTACAATGTATCACATTTATGCAGAATAGTCCTTTTTCTTGTTACATTGTATCAAGTATAAGCCAAATAGTTACCATTTACTTGTTACATGGTATTAAGTGTATGTAGACTAGTCCATATTCCTTGTTACATTGGAACTAGCTTAGGCAGCATAGCTACAATTATTTGTTACAACGTATCAAGTTAATACAGAATAGATACTATACAGAACAGTCCCTGTTCTTGTTACAATGTATCAAATATAATCCCAATAGTTACTATTACTTGTTACATGGCATTATGTGTTTGCAAAATAGTCCATAGTCCTTGTTACATTGTAAACTAGTTAGACAGCATAGTTACTATTACTTGTTACAATGTATCAAGTTTATGCAGAACAGTCTCTGTTCTTGTCACAATGTAGAAAATATAATCCAGGTGGTTACTATTACTTGCTACATTGTATTAAGTGTATGCAGAATAGTCCATATTCCTTGTTACAGATTAGTTACTATTGCTTGTTACAGTGTATCACGTTAAAGCTGAATAGTCCCTGTTCTTGTTACAATGTATCAAGTTTATGCAGAGCAACCCATGTTCTTGTTGCAATGTATCAGGTTGATGCAGAATAGTTAATATCACTTGTTCCAATGTATCAGGTTGATGCGGAACAGTCCCTCTCTTGTTACAATGGATCAAGTTTATGCAGAACAGTCCCTGTTCTTGTTACAATGGATCAAGTTTATGCAGAACAGTCCCTGTTCTTGTTACAATGGATCAAGTTTATGCAGAACAGTCCCTGTTCTTGTTACAATGGATCAAGTTTATGCAGAACAGTCCCTGTTCTTGTTACAATGGATCAAGTTTATGCAGAACAGTCCCTGTTCTTGTTACAATGGATCAAGTTTATGCAGAACAGTCCCTGTTCTTGTTACAATGGATCAAGTTTATGCAGAACAGTCCCTGTTCTTGTTACAATGGATCAAGTTTATGCAGAACAGTCCCTGTTCTTGTTACAATGGATCCAATTGATGCAGAATAGTTGATAATGTTACAATGTATCAGGTTGATTCAGAATAGTTTATAATGTTACAATGTATCAGGTTGATTCAGAATAGTTAATATTATTACAATGTATCACATTTATGTAGTATAGTCTCTATTCTTGTTACTTTGTATCTAATTTATGTAGAAAAAGTCAATATTTCGTGTTACTTTGTATCCAGTTTGTGCAGGATAGGCACTATTCTTCTTACAATGTATCAAGTTTGTGCAGCGGTGTCTGTATTTTTGTTCCATTGTATGGAGCTGATAGAGAAGGGTTAATAGGACTTGTTACATTGTGTGGAGCTGATAGAGAAGGGTTAATATGACTTGTTACATTGTATGGAGTTGATAGAGAAGGGTTAATACGACTTGTTACATTGTATGGAGTTGATAGAGAAGGGTTAATAGGACTTGTTACATTGTATGGAGTTGATAGAGAAGGGTTAATAGGACTTGTTACATTGTATGGAGTTGATAGAGAAGGGTTAATAGGACTTGTTACATTGTATGGAGCTGATAGAGAAGGGTTAATAGGACTTGTTACATTGTATGGAGTCGATAGAGAAGGGTTAATAGGACTTGTTACATTGTATGGAGTTGATAGAGAAGGGTTAATAGGACTTGTTACATTGTATGGAGTCGATAGAGAAGGGTAATAGGACTTGTTACATTGTATGGAGTCGATAGAGAAGGGTTAATAGGACTTGTTACATTGTATGGAGTTGATAGAGAAGGGTTAATAGGACTTGTTACATTGTATGGAGTTGATAGAGAAGGTTAATAGGACTTGTTACATTGTATGGAGTCGATAGAGAAGGGTTAATAGGACTTGTTACATTGTATGGAGCTGATAGAGAAGGGTTAATAGGACTTGTTACATTGTGTGGAGCTGATAGAGAAGGGTTAATAGGACTTGTTACATTGTATGGAGTTGATAGAGAAGGGTTAATAGGACTTGTTACATTGTATGGAGTTGATAGAGAAGGGTTAATAGGACTTGTTACATTGTATGGAGTTGATAGAGAAGGGTTAATAGGACTTGTTACATTGTGTGGAGCTGATAGAGAAGGGTTAATAGGACTTGTTACATTGTATGGAGTTGATAGAGAAGGGTTAATAGGACTTGTTACATTGTATGGAGTTGATAGAGAAGGGTTAATAGGACTTGTTACATTGTATGGAGTTGATAGAGAAGGGTTAATAGGACTTGTTCCATTGATTCGAGCTCCTATGACCCGCCTTGCCGCGTAGTATTGGGCGCTTTGTATGGCAGTGAGATGGTACGTTGTGGCCAGCCAGTAACAATGTTCTCCTTGCTTTGCAGGACGCGATTTATCCGCGGCTCCTTCCTCGCAGCGACTGACGGACAAAGGAAAAAAAGTTGTGGCGGCGGCTCTGTTGATTGTATGAGCGCTAAGATGGAGCCTACTTTCTACGACGATGCACTGAGCGCCGCGTTCGGGCAGCCCGAGCCCACCGGCTACGGATACAACCCCAAGGTGCTGAAGCAGAGCATGACCCTGAACCTGTCGGACCCCAGCAGCGCCATCAAACCTCACCTGAGGAACAAGGGGGCCGACCTGCTGACCTCCCCGGACGTGGGACTCCTCAAGCTGGCATCGCCCGAGCTGGAGAGGCTGATCATCCAGTCCAGCAACGGCATGATCACCACCACGCCGACCCCCACCCAGTTCCTGTGCCCCAAAAACGTGACGGACGAGCAGGAGGGCTTTGCGGAGGGCTTCGTCAGGGCGCTGGCCGAGCTGCACAGCCAGAACATCTTGCCCGGCGTGACCTCGGCCCCGCAGCCCCCCGCCAGCACGGGACTGGCACCCGTCTCCTCTATAGCCGGCAACACTGGATACAACGGCACTTTGCACAGCGAGCCCCCCGTCTACGCCAACCTGAACAGCTTTAACCCCACCACCATCACCAGCGCCCCGGCGTTCAACGGCCCGGCGCCATGGGCTTCGCCTCGCAGCACCTTGCCAGCCCCCCTCTCCCCGTCCAGCACCCCAGGCTGCAGGCTCTAAAGGAAGAGCCCCAAACCGTCCCGGAGATGCCCGGCGAGACCCCTCCCCTCTCCCCCATCGACATGGAGTCGCAGGAGCGCATCAAAGCCGAGCGCAAACGCATGCGGAACCGAATCGCCGCCTCCAAGTGCAGGAAGAGAAAACTAGAACGCATCGCCCGGCTGGAGGACAAAGTTAAGAACCTGAAGTCGCAGAACTCTGAGCTGGCGTCCACCGCCAACATGCTGCGGGAGCAGGTCGCCCAGCTCAAACAGAAAGTGATGAATCACGTCAACAGCGGCTGCCAGCTCATGTTAACGCAGCAGCTGCAGACGTTCTGAACGGACTGGCCTCTCGGAGGGGAGAGAGAGAGAGAAAGCGAGAGAGAGCGAAAAGAGAGAACGCGCCTCGGGGGCGAACATGAAATTGAAACTCCTGGCTGGGGAAGTGACAAAAACAAAACCTAAAAAAAAAAAAACACAAAAATATACAAAGCACCCGCCATGCGATTGTTCCTACGCGCGTGCGCAAAACAGGAGACTGCCGAGCCTTTCCGTCGGAGCAAAGTGGTGGTTAGGGCCGAGCGAAGGGTTGTCAGTGGCCCAGCTCTGAACTGTGTGTAACATTGATCACGCCTGCATGGACCCTTTCTTCAAGTTCGATGATCATTCAGTATTAAAAAGGTTAAAACTAGAGACTCGTAAAATGCTTCTGTAGTCCTGGAACAGGTGGGGGGGGAGGGGGAGGCGTCTGTTCGGATTCTGCTACTTAACTGTGTCATGTGTACATACTGTAATTTTATTATTTTTTTTATAAATATATATATATATATATATATTATAAAATATAAGCTGACGTGTCGTCAGTAAAATGGCTATAAGCATTTTTTTTTTTTTTTTTTGTAAATGTTTATTTATGTTTTCATTTTGGGTTGATGAACCCAGTACTGTTTGTAAATAAGAAATTTTTGGAGCTCTTTTGAGTTTAAACCTTTGTAATAAAGTATATAATTTTTCTATAATTTTTTTTTTTTTTTTTTGGAGGATGATTTCATAAATTTGATGATATTTAAGGAAAAAAAATGTTAAAAATTAGGTTTTTTTTTTTTTTTTAATTTATTGATTTTTTTTTTTTTTTTTTTTTTTTTTTTACATTGCAATAAACATGCATGACAAAGTCTACTCAAAGCCTATGGTGTTTATGCAGTATATTGCCATGTGGTCTAGAAGGCTTTGGGGGTTATTTACTAAAACTGGAGAGTGCAAAATCTGGTGCAGCTCTGAATAGAAACCAATCTGCTTCCAGGTTTTATTTTCATAGCTTAATTGAACAAGCTGAAGTTAGAAGCTGATTGGCTAATATGCTCAGCTGCACCAGATTGTGAGTGCTCCAGGTTTAGTAAATCTCCCTCACTGTTAGGAAAAGTGATGAGATCAGCGTTTGTCAATCTCTTTTTTTTAACATAGAGGGATCCTTGAAATAACTTTCAGGTCTCAGGAAACCCCTGACAAGAATATTTATATCAACAGATCATGGTACATTTGCATTCCGGTAACTAGTGGAAATAAGAATAAAAGAATGGAGGAATGTGGCGTATTTGACACTCTCAGCTTTATACTGCAAAATTAAGCTATATTAATGAAATTAAATAATAAAAGCTAGGAAGGAAATGCTGATAATGAAATTGTAATCTTTGGTCATACTGGTGGTCAGCATAGTTACCGCTTTTATCCATGATCAGTGTGGTCATCCCTTACATTTCTGGTATAAATAAGGCCGCCTTTACATTGGTGGTCAGTGGGAAGAATGCCCCTTAGGTTGGCAGTGCATTGGAAAAACTTCCCTTACATTGTTGGTCAGTGGGAAGAATGCCCCTTAGGTTGGCAGTGCATTGGAAAAAAACTTCCCTTACATTGTTGGTCAGTGGGAAGAATGCCCCTTAGGTTGGCAGTGCATTGGAAAAACTTCCCTTACATTGTTGGTCAGTGGAAAGAATGCCCCTTAGGTTGGCAGTGCATTGGAAAAACTTCCCTTACATTGTTGGTCAGGGGAAAAATGCTATGTATGTTGGGGGCAGTAGGAAGAATGTCCCTTACATTGCTGGTCATAGAATGCCCCTTATTTTGGCAGTCAGTGGAAAGAATGCTCCTTGCATTTGTGGTCAGTTGGAAGAATGCCTCTTAGGTTGGCAGTGCATTGGAAGAACTTCCTTACATTGGAGGGCAGTGGGAAGAATGTCCCTTAAATTGGTGGTCAGTAGGAAAAATGCTGCTTCTATTGGTGGTCAGTAGGAAGAATGCCCCCTAAATTGGTGGAGGGAAAATGCTCCTTACATTGGTGGCCAGTGGGAAGAACGTCCCCTATGATGGCAGTCAATGGAAAGAATGTTCCTTATATTGGGGGCTGTAGGAAGAATGCACCTTATATCGGTGGTCCGTGGGAGGAATGCCCCTTACATTGGCAGTCCGTGGGAGGAATGCCCCTTACATTGGCGGTCCGTGGGAGGAATGCCCCTTACATTGGCGGTCCGTGGGAAGAATGCCCCTTACATTGGCGGTTCGTGGGAAGAATGCCCCTTACATTGGTGGTCAGTGGGAGGAACACCCCCTTACATTGGCAGTCAGTGGGAAGAATGTTTCTTACACTAGACTGTCCCCCTTACAGATCACTAAAAAGTTTAATTGAAGTTAGTGATAACTTACCTGAGACACAGAAAGGGATTCTTATTTACTAACAGAAACTGGGGCAGCTGTGCATTGTAACCAATCCGCTTCTAACTTCAGCTTTTCAGTTAAGCTTTGACAATAAAACCTGGAAGCTGATTGGCTACCATGCACTGCTACACCAGATTCTTTGTACTCCAGTTTTAGTAAATCTCCCCTGGAAATTGCTCAAAGAACTCCTAGCAACTTTTGGAGGAGCTTTGGTTGAGAAAAGTAATGCAAAGTTTGAGTTTTTTATGAAAAGGTCAGGTGGTCGTCCCATTCTCCCGTTTGCTGCTTTCCCTGCGGAAGTTTGTTCACCTAAATTTATTCAGACTCCCCAGTGCACCTGCTAGTCCGTTAGACATGTGGCTGTGTTTATTCTTGCATATTGTGAAATGTAATCCTAGAGGGTTGGCAATCGGAGCAGCCAAGCCTTCCCAGGGTTCAGTGCTTTCAGACACTCCAGTATATATAGTATAAAAGCAGATATTCAAAGCCCATATAGTTTTCAGTGCCTTAAATTAAACAGGAGCGCCTGTCATTGCCTGCACCAATGGAGATTTCGATGTACTGGTCTGGCTGTTCTCGTACCGTGGACGTTCTCATGCATATGTTGTAGATTTATTTTAGTTGGATCATACCGATGAAAGTCTGACCATCCAAAGCTTTCTTGGCATAGTTTCAATTATAAATACTGTGTTTGCCAGAGCATTTGTGTTTGTGCTCCAAAGCTTGAGCTGCATGCAGACACCCCTGGCACCAACTCCTCTTGGGGGAGACCATAGTGATTGCCCAAGGTTGTTGCCAATCTGTTAAATCAAGCTGCATTTATCCTTTTTGTCCCCTGACCCAACATAACCCACCTCTTCCCCTCCAAATCAGTGCTTACCATAATCTGATGGGCAAGGTTCTACTGCTCTGGCTGCACCTGCACTTGACAGCCCCTTAGACTTCTATGAGACCTTGGGTGTCAGGACATAGCCCCATAGGAGTCTATGGGGCATTAATGTGCAGGTGTGGCCAGGACATTAGTGGAGGGGGAAGGTGGGCAAGGCTAGGGGAAGGAGGCAAAAAGGATTTCTTTATTTATCCTTTAATGTCCCCAGCACCATGATCTCTTGACCATTGGTGTCTGCAGGTGCTGTAAGATTGTGACATTGGGTTCTCATTCTGAAATAAAGTAACCCATAACAGCCAATCAGAAACTCCTATACTGGTCTTGGTTACAGAGTGAGTGCTGCTGTGTTGCTATGGTCTACAAAATTAAGAGAAGTTAGCACTTGCAAATAAGAGTTCTTTATTAAATAGGGTCAGTTATGTAGATGTTTACCGTTCAAGTAGAAACCAGTTACATAGTCTGGCTGAGAAAAGACAAAAGTCCATCCAGTTCAACCATTAGGTATTTATTTAAACTTGCACTATGCAGAATAATTATACACAACTATTAGTTACACACTTACGTTTGCTTTAAGGAAGTGTGTACACCTCAATAGTAATGTTACTAATCAAATCAGTATGTCAATATTTACTATATGGCCAATGGGTTGTGGACTCCTGACCACCACAACTTTATGAGCTTTTTGGACATGCCATTCAAAAACCATGGGCAATAATATGGATTACCATGTGGTTACAGAAGCCTCCAATCTTCTGGGAAGGTTTTTCACAAAATTCTGGAGGGTGTCTATGGGAATTTGTGTCCTTTTGTGAAGTCAGGTACTGATATTGGGTGAGAAGACCTGACTCACCATTGGAGTTCTAATTTATTCCAAAGGTGTTCAGTAGGGTTGAGGCCAGGGCTCTGTGACGGTCACTCAAGTTCCTCCACACCAAATTTGTTACGATTTCCAGAGCTGGCTTTGTACATGGGGGAACAGTCATGATGGAACAGAAAAGGGTCTACACCAAATTGGTTACTATGTTTGGAGCTGGCTTTTTACGCAGGGGAACAGTCATGATGGAATAGAAAAGGGTCTTCAACAAACTGGTGACTATTTCCAGAGCTGCCTATATATGCAGGGAAACAATCATGGTGGAATAGGAAAGGGTCTTCACCAAACTGGTCACTTTGTCCAAAGCTGGCTTTGTACACAGGGGAACAGTCGTATTGGAATGGAAAAGGGTCTTCAACAAACTGGTCAATATGTCCAGAGCTGGCTTTGTACGCAGGGGAACAGTCGTGATAGAATGGAAAAGGGTCTTCACCAAACTGGTCACTATGTCCAAAGCTGGCTTTGTACACAGGTGAACAGTCATGACGGAATAGAAAAGGGTCTTCAACAAACTGGTCACTCTTTCCAGAGCTGCCTATATATGCAGGGAAACAATCATGGCGGAATAGGAAAGGGTCTTCACCAAACTGGTCAATATGTCCAGAGCTGGCTTTGTACACAGGGGAACAGTCATGATAGAATGGAAAAGGGTCTCTGCCAAATTGGTCATTATGTCCAGAGCTGGCTTTGTACGCAGGGGAACAGTCGTGATAGAATGGAAAAGGGTCTCCGCCAAATTGGTCATTATGTCCAGAGCTGGCTTTGTACGCAGGGGAACAGTCGTGATAGAATGGAAAAGGGTCTCCGCCAAATTGGTCATTATGTCCAGAGCTGGCTTTGTACGCAGGGGAACAGTCGTGATAG